TAGTTAAATGAAAGTGTTACAGAATATTATAAAAGTGTCTGTTAAATACTGCTTTCCAATTTTTAGGACATTAGTAAGCTTATAGTTAACATACTTAGAAAAATGTAAATTTGCCTCTTAGTAGAGTTTGGGTAACAACCAGAACTCAATTATCAAATTTCAAGATATTCCATCAATTCGTTCCGTAGATATGGTGAAAAATGTAAAATCGGCCCGCAAATCAGTTCTCGAGCCCTGATCTTTCCAAAAAAGTTATATGTTCATTGCTATAATATGAGGAATTCATATATTAAATTTCAATGAAATCGGTTGATTATTTCTCTTTATATACACAAAAGTGTATGTTTGGCCCGTAGTAAACGTCTAGTTGCCGATGCCTGATCTTTCCAAAAAATTTACATGTTCATTGTTTTAATACGGGGAATTCATATATTAAATTTCAATGAAATCGGTTGATTAATTCTCTTTATATACACAAAAGTGTATGTTTGGCCCGTAGTAAACGTCTAGTTGCCGATGCTTGATCTTTCCAAAAAATTTACATGTTCATTGTTTTAATACGGGGAATTCATATATTAAATTTCAATGAAATCGGTTGATTATTTCTCTTTATATACACAAAAATGTATATTTGGCCCGTAGTAAACGTCCAGTTGCTGACGCCTGATTTCTTCCAAAAGTTAGGAGGTTTCATCGCCGGTAGAGCAAAACTTATATATGAAATTTCAAGTAAATCGGTTGAATATGTTCTTCAATATGCTCAAAAATGTAAAACAGGCCCGCTAAAAAGTGCAGTTCCATAAGTTGATCGATCCGTGCCATGGTGGAAATAAACTTACATATAAAATTTCATCAAAATCGGTTCAGCCGAACTTGAGATACACGCGTGCATACACAGACCTACAGACCGACAGACCGACAGGTTGCTAAAAATAGTTTATTTACACTTCCCTACTATGGAGAAGTACGTTCCCACCGAAAACTCGATATGCAAAATTTGTTGCCATCACATAACCTACCTATTGTTTACACAATACGGTCGGTAAAAACTACTGATTAAAGTAAATCCTGTAATCTATTTCCATAGTCAGAATTTGCAAATTTCGGAAATTTTCAGGTAAATAAAGCAAAATCAGCTGCCTATAAATTACTAGAGGGAAATGGAAGGGCTAATTACTTGTCTATTCTACAAAATATGCAAAATATTTTCATTTCAATAATGGTATATACAAGTTTAAACCCGTGCATATTAAAATAAATAATTTTTAATTTCTATCAAATTTTATTAGAGAATAAGGTATGTTTTTATTTATATGTATGTATTGTGTACATATTTTAGTATGTACATATGTATGTATTTGGGGAGGGATTGAATTAGATAACATTACATATTAAGAAACTGTAATCGCAATACAGAATTTATCTAGAAAAAAAATAATTATATACAAATACATTATTTAAATTAGAATCTTAGTGCTAATGAATAACAAGTAAAAACGTTTCAGTCGGTATAAACCGATTGAATTATACCCTGCACCTTTCGTTATTGTGTAGCAATTACTTGAACCTCTAAAATAATTCTATAGAAACTTCACATACATGTCTGAATTATAATTGGACATCCGACTGCCAAGTTTCATGAATCTGACCTTATAATTTTTCCAAATATTTAAAATTAGCTTTTGGAGTTGTATGGTAAGTACCTGAACCTGCCAAGCAATTCCACCAAAACTTCACAAATATATCTGATCTATAATCGGACACACAACTGCCAAGTTTCATGAATCTGACTTTATTATTTTTCCAAATATTAAGAATAAGCTTTTAGACTTGTATGGGATCTACTCGAACCTGTTAAGCAATTCCACCAAAACTTCAGAAATATATGTGACCTATAATTGGACACATGACTGCCAAGTTTCATGAATCTGACTTTATTATTTTTCCGAATATAAAAAATTTGGTGTTGGAGTTGTATCGCAGCCACCCGAACCGGTGCAGCTATCCCATTATAATTTTTAGAGCATGTGTAGAATATAATTGGACAAATGTATACAAAATTTTATATTTATAGCTTTATTAGTTTTTGAAATATTTAAAATAAACTCTTTGAGTTGTATGGCAGCTACCCGAACCCGTTGTCCGAATTAGTCCAATAACAATAGGGCTCGTCCTTGGCACAAAAGAAAAAACTTGTGAAAGTTTGGTGTCAATTGCATTATTCGTTTTTGAGTTATCGTGCGATCGGACGGACGGACGGACGGACGGACGGACGGACGGACGGACGGACGGACAGACGGACATGTCTAAATCGACTCAGAATTTTACGCTGAGCAAGAATATATATATATGTCCATACCGCAGATGACTCCTTCAAGTAGTTACAAACTCCATACCAAAGTTAATATACCCTTCACGAAGTGCAGGGTATAAAAAATCATAATTTTTCTGAGCGACCTTTCGATTAAAAAAAAATTAGTAAATCAGTAAGAATTGGTGACATTTTTATTTTCAAACTAATTTAAAAATTTTTCATCACAAAATTAGCAGTAAAATGGTAAAAATAAAATTAATTTTGAAATTATTTTATTTTTTTTTTTTTTCAAATTAACACGCAAATGGCAATAGCAAATGGAATTTCTTATTTAACTTCTAAATAGGGATTTTTTTTTTGTTTTTCATTTGAAAACTAAATTAAATATTGTAAATGCATGATTTGCATGATTTAACCAACTTATATTGATTTTTTTGTTATTTAAATTTTATTTTTTTTTTACTTTTGGTTTTTAACTAATTTTATGGTATTTTTCTTTAATTCTATATATATATTTTGTAAGAATATGATTCTAGATCAGAAAAGAAAATTGAATCGAAGGGTAAAAATTTCAAAATGCATTTCAATTAAATTATTTATTCTTTACAATTATTTATTTGTGCTTTTATTTGGTTATTTTAATTATAATTCAGTAGGAAACACTTACATACACAATTTTATTTATTAGTCGATTCGACCGATCAAAAAAATTGCACTTCAATAAAGTTATTGAAAATATGCATGTATGTAAATGTATGTATAATATAGTTGATCTTCTTATAGTTATACATTTTTATATTTTTGTCCATAATACTTAAAGTAATTGATTAATATTTCAAAATTTGAAAGATATACAACAGATTTTTCAAAATTCAAACACTTAAACATATTTTTGGTTTATAACTTATAGAATGTAACAAAAAATTGTTTAAACTTCAGATGTTTTCAAAGTTTATCCAAAATTTCAAATATTTCCATAGCTTAGCGGCAAAAATCTAAAAAAATTTTACACACATTTTAAAAATTTTCTGAATAAAAGTGACAAATTTTTATTGAATTGCTTTTAGCACTTCCCAAAAAAAGTTTTGAAAATGGCTCTTATCAGTTTCACTCTGGCCATCCTTCCGTTCACTGACGATACTTTTACATCATTTAGTACAGAAAGTTAGAACTCTTTAAATAGTTTTCCTACACAAGAATGATTTCACATAAATGATTTTACATAATGAAATTTACATAAATATCCACAAAAAAATGAAGCCTACTACATATTAAGTAGGTCTTGCAGAGTTATATCAATATGTTGATACCAAATTTTAAAGTAGAATATAAATACATGTGTCATTTATTTGTTATGAACAACAAAGTATTGAATAACAACTATATTTTTATATACATACATACATGTATGTAAGTACATATCTACAAAATTTTAGTCATGGGTGTTTCTTATATTATCACACATTTACTTTAAAAATGTTAAACAAAAAAACTGGTATACATAGAATGCATATTAACATATAATATTATTTATGTATATACATATATGAATTACTCAATAGCTCATACAAAAAATACAAAATATAAGAGAATAAATAAAGGATAATGCCTTTTATTGATTTTATTAATTGTATATTTGTGTATTTTATACTATTAGTAGTTATGTGGAAAACTCGTTACTATGTATATGGTAATGATTACCAACACCATTTTGTCAAATAATTTGTTAAATGTAAGGCTACCTTTACCAATTAATTATAAATAACTATCATTAATTTTCAATTAAATTATTCAATTATTTAAAATGAATAATGTCATAACTATTTTTATACACACATGATAAATATATCATATATATAGTATATGTTCATACATATATTTACATAATCATGCAATTAAATTTAAATTATTTATTATTTCAAAGTTTTGTAATTTTAAGTAGAATTTCTGAATTTTACTTAATACTTTCACTCAATATTTTTAATGCATCGCAACATTGAAAACCTAAAAACAAACCTTAAAACAATTTTGGCTTTGAAATATATTTTTATCAAAAATATATTTAATTGGAACTGTTATACTCAAAAACGTTGCATCTGAAAAACATACTTCAAAGGATGAAAATTTTATCATCATATTTTAATAAACTAAACTTTTTAAAATATTTACACTTTCACTCACTCAGAAATCTAAACGATTTCAATTTGCAATTTCATTTTGAAAAGTTTTACAAAACAAACTGAAGTGCGTTAGTGAATAAATTGAGATTTCAAAAGCTCATTTACAAACTTTTGTTTAATTTTTTAATAAAAACAATTTTTTAATTTCCGTATTTTAAAGTTTGAAACTTTTTAATAACCATCTAAAGAGAGTGAAATTGTTCGAATTTTGCCTAAACACATTTATTAATATGCACTTTAAAAGTATAGTTTATGTGAAGAATAATGAAGATGTGCAAGTGAATCTGTTTACTAACACTGTGTATTGTGTAAAAGTACACTTGCTGTACTTCAGATGTCGCCTTTCCGTTTATTAATTAAATTATTCATCATACATTTTCTGTTTTAATTGGCTTTGTTAATTGTTGTTTAATGTTTATTAATGTTGAAGTTTCTATATATTTTTAAAATTAAAATAATAATTAAGATAATAATTTCTGTTTTTCTTTTTTTCTTTAAATAATTAGGTGCTACATTTGGAACTGGTATTACTGCTATTAAACTCACAGCCCTTGGTCGTCCTCAATTACTTGTAAGAATTTCGATCTTTAAATGTAAATTTAATAATTTAATTTTTTTTTTGTTTGTACTTTTTAGCTCCAAGTTTCTGAAGTTATCATGAATACTCGTAAATATATGGAAGATTTAGTTGGTGGACAAGGCAATGTCTTAACACATCATAAGACAATCAAAGATTTAGAAAAATATTATGCTAGTTTGGGTGATAATAAAAATGTTAAGGAGTTCCTTTCACGTGTTACATCTGATAAAGATGGGTTAGATTTACTTAAAATTAAAAACAAAACATATAACTAATTTTATTTTTAATTTTTATATTAAATATATATTTATATATATTTATTATAATTTATTTCTCTCATACAAAATATCATTTCAATATTATTTCATAAAAAAGGGCTTCTCCATATTATTTATTTTAATTTAAATATAAAAGTTTATTGGTTATATTTCAACTATTCTGTTACAATTTATTTTTTATTTTATTTCAAATAAAAAAAAAAAATATTTAAAATCAAATATAATTAATTTAGAAAAAGGTATACAAAATTTATAGGATCAAAACATCAAAGGATGGAACTATAATTAACAACGATAAAGATGCCATGTGCGTAAAATAAGTAAATAATTTGTGAAAAAAAGAATGAAAAGAAAATTTTATGTTGATGTGTTAGTTGATTTTGTATACATATAGCTTTGTAATTCTAGCATAGCATATCCAAATGAAAAAAAGTAGTAGTGTGGTAGTATGCTACAAAATGAAAATGAGGATAATATACTCATCATTTTGGTATACTCATCATTTTATCAATGATGATAATACTCATAAAATAAAAGATTCAATTATGACATAGTTCATTAAATTCATGTCAAACATAGTGTTGCCAGAACATACATATAAATTAAGAGAATTCAAAGCTTTTATAATTTTTTTTTTCGTTTTGGGTTATAAAATATTTCTTGAAGAAAACACAAACAAACCACTTCCACATTTGATATGTACACTTTGAATAAAGTAATTTTATAATGAAATTTACTTAACTTATAATATTTAGCCTATTTTTTGTTGAAAGATAAAAATTTTATGAGCGGCAATTTTTCCAGAAGTTCCTCTCCGGCAACACATTCGTTCATAATATTGTAAAATAGCTAATTTAAAATCCAATTTTTTTTTAAATATATCAACAAAATTCGCCTTAATAACTAGAAAACGTCATAGCCGTAAAGGAATAGTATAAATGTCACCTTGATTGAACGTTGAAGCTGTAAATATATTTTTTTTAAATTCAAAATTAATTTACGAGTAGCTATTGTAAGAAACGAAGGTTATAGACTAGAAAAGAATAATCAAGTTAAAATTTATGTACAAAGGACGCCTTCCTAAATGCGAATCTTATTTTATTTAGCAATTTAATTTTAACTGCTGAATATTTTTATTAGATTTGCATTTAGGTTTATGTCCATAGTTTTTAAATTCTTTTTACATTGAAGGAAAAATTTTGTAAACATTTTAAAGTCAAATAGAATATATAAATAATATATAGTTTAAATAGTTTAATATTATTTTTTAAAACTATAAATTTGTTTTCAATTATAAAAGTTATATTATTTGTTAATTTATTGAAATAAATAATGTACATATATAGAAACATGAATCAGAACCAGAAATTATATAAGCTAGATGCAAAGAAATCTGTAATCTGCTACATTCGGCAGTTAATATAGTTTGTTGAATAAGTCAATTCGTTCAGCATTAAGGTGAACGGCTTAAGTCTTCTTGAGACATATAAAAATTACATATTGATCTCTAAAGTAATTTGATTAGAACTGAAAAGTTTTTTAAATTTATGACAATATAAAATCCAAACATTTATTCAAACACATTTTACACGTGTTAAAATTCCAAGATAATATGTTTGTATTCAAGTTTTTATTAATTATTTTTTTAAACGATTAAATTACAATTGATTTTTATTTTAATTGGAAAATCTAAATTCAGGTTAATTACATAATATTCACACTTTTCTCATATAGTTTTTAAATTCATATTGTAATTTTAAAGCACTTCCTTTTTTTATGCTCAAAATTTTGAAATTTCATATTTAAAAAAGAATTAATAATGTACTTTACGAAATTCATTTCAAGTGAATTATCAACAATTCATCATCAACATTTGTTTTTCTTCTTAAAGAATCAAACTGAAATGCTAGAAAAAGTCTAAAAGCATTTCCAAAAAGTTTTGTATACCTTGACAAAATCCTTTGCACATTCAGAGTCATTTGTTTTTTTTTGAGAATTAAATACAGAGGTAGTCATTTTGAAAAAAAAAATGAGAATTGATCTACAAAAATTCACATATCTTGTAAATTAAATTGTAATAAGCAATTGATTTTTAAATTAATTTAGAACCAAAATGCCATTAATTTCAAAATTACTGCCCTTATTTTTCTTGTATATTTTTGTATAAAATGAAATATAATAGTGAGTTTCTCATATTTTAATGCTCGCTATATTTTGTACAAATTCAAAATTTTATAAGACGAATGAAATTTTTAATATTTTGTTGAAATTAGCATTATTCTTGCAGTAGCTATAACATTTTAAAGTCTTGAATTGTAAATATATATTTTATTTGATAAAAATTCATAAAAAGGTTTATAACATTGAAAACCTTTTATTTTATAAAAATATAAATTTATCATATGCAAAATATTGAAAATTTTATTCATAAATTAATCCTGTATATGCTTAGGAAAAGCATTTTTAATTTGTATATCTTTATAAATTTACAGTTACTATAACAAATTTCTATTTTCTTTATAACATTTACAGTATTTTACATTTGTTCCCATGGTCAGGAATTGTTGATGAAGATAGTCAATTAAGTGATACTTTCCGTGTACCAGATCCAAAAACAGGTCAAATGCGTCGCTTAACATCACGTATACCACCAAAGGAAGAAGAAATGTTCCGAAATATGATTCGACGCTTAAATACAATTGTGAAGGTATCAATATAATGCTTTTTACAAAAATATAGGTTTTATTTTTTAAAGAAAATTAAACTTTTTACTGCATTCAAAATATTTTAAGGCTTGGAAAATTAAATTTGAATTTTTCTATTCATTCTGTTTTAATTATCGAATTACTGAACTATGTATTAAATTTGCCTTTAAATATTCGAAATATTACAAAAAGATTTAATTTTTAGTATAAATAATTTAATAAACAATTTTAGGCTGCTGAAGATTTAGACGTACGTATAATGATTGATGCCGAGCAAACATATTTTCAACCAGCAATTTCACGTATTACTCTTGAAATGATGAGAAAATATAATAAAGAAAAAGCTGTTGTATTTAATACTTATCAATGTTATTTAAAAGAAACATTTAGAGAAGTTTGTACAGATTTAGAGCAAGCAAAACGTCAAAATTTCTATTTTGGCGCAAAATTAGTGCGTGGTGCATATATGGAACAAGAAAGAGCTAGAGCAGCAGCTTTAAATTATGAGGATCCAATAAATCCAACATACGAAGCAACAACTGATATGTATCACAAAACCTTAACAGAATGTTTAAGAAGGATTAAAGTAATAAAATTTTTTAAAACACAAATTTTAGTTTAAATTTATAATATTTAAATGTCTATTTTAGTCATTCAAAGATAGTGGTGAAGATCTCAAAAAAATTGGTATTATGGTTGCATCGCACAACGAGGACACTGTCCGATTTGCAATTGAAAAAATGAAAGAAATTGGTATCGAACCAGAAGACAAAGTTATTTGTTTTGGTCAATTATTAGGAATGTGTGATTTTATAACCTTCCCCTTAGGTAAATAAAATCTTTACTCAACTATTAATTACTAGTATGTTAATGAATTTATATTTATTTTTAGGTCAAGCTGGTTATTCTGCATATAAATATATCCCATATGGTCCAGTACAAGAAGTTTTACCATATTTATCAAGACGTGCTCAAGAAAACAAAACTGTCCTTAAAAAATTATCAAAAGAAAAACGATTGTTATTAGCTGAAATTACACGACGAATATTAAAAGGACAATGGTTTTATAAACCAAAAGGCAATTATGTTCCAGTTTAAGAAAAACAAAAACAAAAATGTAGAAAAAAATCAGCAAAAATACAAAAACAAAAAAAAAATTCACAACATACACACAAAAGTTATTTAGTTTATTAATTTAATTAGAAAAAGAAAAAAAAATAATAAAAATCAAAAACAAACAGAAAAGAAAATGAATAGTAAATAATTTGATAAGAAACCGTATTTACCAGTCTTTAATAGATGAGAATACATAACAATTATTTATATATATATATATATTAATATTATATATTATAATATATTATATATTATAATATATATTAAATATTTAAATTGAATAATAATTTAACTATACTTATTAAATACATAAGAGTAAGTTGAATATTACAATAAATTGTTAATTAAATATAAGAGTATTATAGAATTCACTTGAATTAAATATAAAAATTTTCATAATTATTTTTTTATATTATAAAGACATGCAACTTTTTATTAAATGATACAAAGGGGTTCCAATGAGTTTCAGGGAATTTAATTAAAATATTAAAAACACAAATTTTTTATAAATTTTATAATTAATTTTGTATGTATCATATTTTTACATCATACACTTAACACATTAATTAAATTATTCAATATTTCTGATAAATCTGTGATCTCACAGTCAAATATATATTTTTAATTATTATCTCGACATAAGACTTTTCCGCTGTAATCCAGTTTTTTTTACAGTATAACGCAATATCGTTCATTCACTCTTAACCTCATTTTCCTTGTTTCCTCTTCCATTAAAATTTGGAGAGAATAAAAAGAACATTAAAAGAACATAACTTAACAAAAAAATTTAAAGAACAACTTTACAATAGTTTTACCATAATTATAATTTCTTTATTTAAAATAATTTGACTTGTAACCACAGATTTTTTCTTTTAAATACGAGTACATACTTATTGTATGTCTATTATTATTTCTTCTATTGTATGTCTTCTTTTTTTTATATTTATCAAAAGTTTAAAACGATTGTATAAGCAAATAATTTTTTAATTATTTGTTTTATGGAAACTTCCTAGTGAAAAAGATATAAAAGTTGGATGTCTTATTAAAAAGTTATTTTTATAGATTTATGGGATTTTTCGATAATTCAGATTATGGACTTAAAGTTCTAACTTAAATTTGAAAAATTTTTTTTCTTAATGTCTTTAATTTTTTTGTGCATTTTTACCGCAATTCAAAAAAAACAAAAAACTTTAAAAATGCTTTAGAACTTTAAGCATGTTTTTGAGCAGCAATATTCGATCGTGTTTCTTTTCTAGCAAAGATTTATCGAATATGCTAGATATTTGAAGACTTTGTAATTTTGATTTATCGAACTTGCATCGAATTAAGATTGTTATCTTATAACTGAATTTTCGTAAATCCCCTATATTACATATTTGGCACGTTATATTTTTGCAGAATTGCGTTTACGAAAATCTCTTATATTATTAAGATTTATAAAATTTCTAAAAGATTATTTTCTTATAATTTTCTTTATTTTTTGTTTTCTTTCAGCGTCATTAGCGACATTGTAATAAATTAATTTCTGAAATTAGGTTTATGTAACGTCAATTGTATCCTGTCTTCTTTTTAATATGTTGAGAAAAAAAAAATTAATAAAAATTGAGAAAAAAAAATTGAAAAGAAAAAATTGTAAAAATTTAAGAAAAATTTGAAAAAAAAAAATCAAAAATTGTTTTCGAGTCTCGAATATTTTTAATTATTATTACATTGTAAGCTTTCTTGTTAATTTTTATTGTTTCAATTTCCAAGTTTCATCAGTATGTTATTATTATATAAATATATAATTGTGTAATTTTTTTATTCTATTTTTTGTTTGTTTTTTTTCTGTAACTCTCTCTTTATAATTTTATTTTAAAACTACCATTATTTTTTTTTTATTTTAAATTAAAAATACATAATTATATATACGAATTGTAAATCTATGTGTAATTCTATGTGAAAAAAGAAAACAATTTCATTATGTCTGTGACAAATAATATTGTACTTTAATTTAAGAAAAAATTAATTATAAAGTTCAAGAAAATATTCACATTATCGAATTGCTGAATTTTCACGTTAAGCAACTTTCTATATTCATACATACATAATAGACTTGAACTACAGAATTTAATTTATAGAATAGATTTCTCATAAATTATTAAAATAAAATTTAGTAAAAAATTTCACATAGAAATACGATAAAACAGAATGATATAAAAATGGTATATAATTACGGTAAAAAAATATTATTGTAAAAGAGAAATAAAAATGTACATTTTTTATTTTCTAATAGAATTTTATTTTATTTTTATTATTATTTTTATTTTTAACAAAATTTCATATTTAAATATATATAAAAAAAAATTTAATTAATTAAAAGAACGAAATTATAAAAATAAAAAATAATATTGTCTATGTTTTAATAATAGGAATATAAATGTCTTTAAATAAAAAAAGAAAAAACAAATTTTCAAAACACATTTTCTTTGTATTTATTTTCCATTTTATTATTTAATTAATCATTTAATACAAAAATTTTATCATGTAATTATTTATTTATTTATTTATTAATACCTACATTTTTAAACACTTTTTAAATGATCAACAACAATTCATTTAAACAAAATAATGGGCAGCATTCCGTATTGTCAAAAACAAAGTGTACAATGACATTGCATTGTCAAACAATAAAAACTTATTTTTTATACATTTCGTAGTACAAATTTTGATTTTTTGACATTAACATTTCTTTTTAAATTGAAATTATAAATAACATTGCAACTATTATTATTATGGTCCTTAATATTTGCATACTATTTCCAGTTTTCTACAAGTCAATGCAAGAAGTGAAAAGTTAGTGCTATGTCAATTTAAACACAAATCAACTCAAACTGGTAATACTTATTGTCAAAATTTTACAAAAAGCATACCGAATTTTTTTGGATGCACGATCTACTTTTCTCTGCGCTTCGAAAATTCCATTTATGCAATTCGAAATGCGAAACTTGACACATACATCGTTGACATTTGCGGTTTTTTTTTTACAATACAGAATATTGCCATATTTATAGTAATTTCTTTATTAAATTTTATTTTATGTTTTTATTTTATTTTAGCGATTTCATATATACGTTAATAAAAAAGGGATCTATATAACTAAAAATGTATGTACAAAATCAGGAATTATTGGAAGACTAAAAGAAGCAAATGAAAATATTTTGATATTATTTTAAATTATAAGAATTTAAGTTTTATATGTATATAATTTTATGCATTTTTTATTGTTATTGTTTTATATTATATAGAAAATCATATATCTTAATTCAATTTAAATACATACTCGTATACACGCACACATGTTTTGTAAAATCGTGGTAGCTTTTAATTTTTTAATTAATATATACGTTATTCACGTAACTATTATAGCAATCTTTTTATAATGATTTGAAAAAAATATGGACTCCAAAAACAATAAAAAAAAATTTGTTTAAGTAAAATAATTGAATATACATAAATATAATATTATGGACAATAATGTTAGAAATAATAAAAGTAAAGGCCTAAAGCTTACGTTTATATTTATTATAAAAACATACCTATGTATTTATTTTACAAAATTCTAAATTTTACCGAAATAGTAAAAATTAGTATTTATTTTAGCATAAATAAAACTTGTTTAGAATTTCAATATTAATACAAATACCTTTTAAAAGAAAATTATTTCTTAAAACTAGAATAATTTTTGGGACTTTGATGATAACTGTTATAATATTAAGAATTATCGTCAAAATCGCAAAATTATTATTAATATTTATTTTAATTAAATATTATAATAATAATATATTAATTTAATATTAATTAAATAAAACATAATTATTTATTTGAATAAATCATACGATAAATTCATTGAATTTTGCAAAGATTACTTAAGCAAATATTTAAAAATTAATAAACCCAAAATTTCTTAAAAAACTCATTTGAACTTAATATTTAAATTATTTTTAAGTAAATTGCAAAATTTAAAAATTTTGTTAAATTTTTTAAATAAGCTTTCTACAAAATTATTTTTTATATAATTGTATTCGGATTTCTTGTTAATTAGATTTATTTCAACAATCTACATTTTAAAATGGTAGTGTTTAATTCTGTTCTAATATTTTTAACCAATATTTGTTATTATATATTGTAGTCTCTAATAAAAGTTAAATATTCAAATGTTCATAATTTTTTTTTGAATTTATTATATTACATTTTTGTATTATAAGATATTAAAAAAATTGTTTTAATAAGAAGTTAAAGTATCTGAAATATTGAATGTAATAGAAACACATGAAATAGAATCAGTATAAGGTATAAAGTATTTTATTTTCAAGGAAGAATTTTTACTTAACATTATTTTTATTGAAGTCCTTATATAATATTTTTGATGCATTGTTACAATATTTTTATAGAAGGATTGCTATTTTATAAATGATTTTTTCAATTATTAATTTCAAAACCCTTTCATAACTTTAAAGTTATAAACGCGTATACTTATTTTAACTAGTTTAACAAATCAAAATAAAATATCATGTTTTAATCAAATTAAGTTTATTATTTTGATTCCAGAATTAAGTTTTGCTTATGTTGCACACTTTAAATACCATTATATAATTATTTTGGTATATGTAAAATGATTGTAACGAAATTTAAACAAAGACAATAAACAATATTTTATTAAAACTTCGCCTTAATTTTAAGTTTTGCGAATTCGAGCTATATTATATAATAAAATATTAAATAAAGTTATAGGAAGAAAAAGAAAAATACGAATAATTAGTAATTTAGAAAATTTTAAAATTTTTCGCTTATGTCATGAATATAAAAGTTGCTAAAGATATAAATTAATTATATCATATTGTATAGCAACTTGATATTTCATTTTAGAATATTGGATCATGCATATATACTGATATATCATAAAAGATATTCAGTTTTGTAATATCATATGACGATCGTCACAATATATACGATATTATAAAAAGAAGCTTAAAAAGACTTTCTTTTGCTAGCTACCTTTTTCTTGACAATCGAATTGGCTTTCGTACGCATTCTTATGATAACAATAAAAATATAAAAATGCCATCAATATAATTTTAGTTTATGTTTATTTTTTAAAGATATAGCCCTCTTAATGTTAATAAGATGTGATTAAGAATGAAAGACTTATCACGAATTAGGAAAATATTTTAAAACGAATAAATTAATATTGATCTTAATTGTTAAGTAAAATTATTAAATTAAAATTTTTTTAAAACATGTGTAAAATTTCGTACAAATTTCGAATTGAAAAGGAATAAATAATAAATTTTAAATTAAATGTTCCTATATTTTAAAAGCTTAATAACTTAATAATTGAATAATTTGAGAACATTTTCCGAATGATTAATAATTATTTAAAATTTTGAGAATTTTGTTTAAATTTAACTCAGAAAAAATTTTAATATTTAATATCAATATTTAATTAAATAATTAATTAAGTAAAGCGTAACACATAATTTTAAGAAAAAATTTGATAATTTACAAGATTCTTGATAATTCTTCAAAAATCAAATACCCTTTATAATTAATGTCTCATACTACAGTCTTTTTATCATTATTTCAAAACAAATAATAAACAATAAGGTATTTGATGAAATATTGATTAAAAACTAAAATATTTTTAAAAAAAAATTCAATTTATAACTTAATTTTAATGTTTAAGTAGTACCTCTAAATTAAAATTTTTATATTTATTTTTTATTTTGAGTTGAAATTTTTTAATAAAATTTGTTATTTAAAGCAATTTAAAGAGAATATATTTCAGGATCGAAACAGTGACAATTACATTTTTATAGGAACACACACATCCTATATAATACATTGTATTGAAATTAAGTGTGTTTTGAGAACAAGATGATGCTATTTATTACCAAGGAACATCCATTCATCAGTGAATTTTTAATATCTACTACTATATTATTCAATTTTAATATAGTACAATTATGATATTCGAAAAAAGTTTACACTTCAACATGTAAAATAAACAATTTCAACGTTCAATTAAATACAATTTTTAAACTTTAAACATATTAAATTTAATTTATTTTTTAATATTCTAGGAAATTAATTAGCATAGTAAGCAATAGCATAAAATTTTCATTTAAATATTTTAATTTTTAAATATTGTTATTATAATTTTTAAGGATTATATTCACCATTATACAAAGTTCATATTAATTATATTATTTACAATTATTGCGTATACTAATTTAAAAATTTAAACTTGAAGCACAACATAAAATGACATCAATGAATTGTTTGAAACACACAGGATTGTAATATATTAACGAAATTAAATAATTTATTGTGTCGCTATATAAGATTTATATTTTATTTAAAAATTTAACGAAAATCAATACTTGTAAAAAATTAAGAATAAATTAATAATATTCATTTAAGATCTCGATATCTCGATATCCTGATATACTGATAAAATCTTATAAAACTGATAAATTTTTTCAAGTATTTTATTTAATGCATTTATATAAATTTTTTAATTATTTTTCTTTGTCTCTTAAAATTTTGA